GGGTGGTTGGGAGAGCTAAAATATATTCAAATTTTTTATTTTCTTGAAAGTCTGTTTTTTCTTCAGTTCAGGGGTATTTTAATATTTAGTGGGATAAGTGGATTTTGTTCTTATATGTTGAAACAAAATTCTTTTCCCTCTTTACTCTCTTACTGTTCACAATGCTCACATTGATCCAATCTTGATTTATGTTTTATACCTGGACACTAGGAAACTGTGTCAATGTGATCTATAATAGATCATGTTCGTTATAAACAGGAATATTGTTGTGTAGGGTACATAGGGGACCATAAGTTGTTCACTATGTTGTAATTTTGTTCATTATCATGATTATATCCATCAATGTTATATGATAAAATACACAGCAAATGGCTGGTACAGTTTGGTATGTGCGTCAGTTTGTTATAAATGTGTGTTCATTATAAACATACTTGACTGTAATGCTGACATTTGTAAATAACATGCCTGATGGTATGTTGGTAATGCTATGATAATGATAGGAGAAGATGCCCCAGGGAAGAGACCAGATACCAAGAATGCCATGTTTGTCATGATTGCCGACTAAAGAGCCTTGGGTGGTCAGGCTTGGTGAATGTCCCCAATGGCATGGATCATAGCTCAGGTTTTCAGTCACTCGTCTGCCTGGTCCAGACTCAATTATCCAGTGTGATTTCACAGGTATATTCAAATCTGACTAGAATGTCACACAACATTCACTCAGTTTTTACCTGACAGTGCTTTTACAGTTTAGATTCTGATTCAAGTTTGTGAACACTGAAAAACCCTATTATTTTGCAATTTAACAAATAAAACATTTCTACCCCAAATCCAATGTTTTTGAGAAATGAAATTTATAAATCAAGTTATTAAATAGAAATACCTTCATTGAATAAAAAGGAACCTCATGTGATCAAATTTTATTTATCTGGATTATTTTCTTTTGTGAAAATAGGAATATCTACACTTTTAGTTTCAGCAGTGTAACCATGGTAACCAATGTGAATGAAGAAATTAAAGTTATGAATGGTTGAGTCTATGTCTATGAAACTGTAAGGTCAGTGGAATGACAATTACTATTTGTTACGGGCCTCTGTATCATGCTGTACACTGGTCTGTCCAACACTGTTGGGAATCTGGTTGTGACCTTTCAACTGATCAATCTATCCATGCAATGCCACCCGTGAAGATATGGGGTAGAATAGGTCTTCAGCAACCCATGCTTGCCGTAAAAGGCGACTATGCTTGTCGTAAGATGTGACTAACGGGATTGGGTGGTCAGGCTCACTGACAACAATGGCACCCGTGAAGATACGGGGTAGAATAGGTCTTCAGCAACCCATGCTTGCCGTAAAAGGCGACTATGCTTGTCGTAAGATGTGACTAACGGGATTGGGTGGTCAGGCTCACTGACAACAATGCCACCCGTGAAGATATGGGGTAGAATAGGTCTTCAGCAACCCATGCTTGCCGTAAAAGGCGACTATGCTTGTCGTAAGATGTGACTAACGGGATTGGGTGGTCAGGCTCACTGACTTGGTTGATGGATGTCATCGATCCCAATCCCTCGATTATTTACAGACTGCCGTCATATAGCTGGAATATTGCTGAGTGCGGCGTTAAACAACCAACCAACCAACCAACTATTCATGCAATGCAGTTGCACATGGATGTGTTTCAGTTCCAGAGTGGGGTGTCTGGCATATAGAGTGTCTGGCATATGGGGTGTCTGACATGTGGGGTGTCTAATTGGGTGTCTGACATATGGGTGTCTGGCATATGGGGTGTCTGGCATATGTGGTGTCTGGCATATGGGGTGTCTGGCATATGATGTGTCTGGCATATGGGGTGTCTGGCATATGGAGTGTCTGATTGGGTATCTGATTGGGTGTCTGACATATGGGGTGTCTGGCATATGGGGTATCTGGCATGTGGGGTGTCTAATTGGGTGTCTGACATATGGGGTGTCTGACATATAGAGTGTCTGGCATATGGGGTGTCTGACATGTGGGGTGTCTAATTGGGTGTCTGACATATGGGTGTCTGGCATATGGGGTGTCTGGCATATGTGGTGTCTGGCATATGGGGTGTCTGGCATATGATGTGTCTGGCATATGGGGTGTCTGGCATATGGAGTGTCTGATTGGGTGTCTGATTGGGTGTCTGACATATGGGGTGTCTGGCATATGGGGTATCTGGCATGTGGGGTGTCTAATTGGGTGTCTGACATATGGGGTGTCTGACATATGGGGTGTCTGGCATATGGGGTGTCTGACATATGGGGTGTCTGACAAATGGGACATGACCAACATCACACCACTGCCATAAGCTATTTTGCATATCACAGAACATTTCTATTGTTTGTAAACAAATGTGTAATAGTGGAAGGCTTTTGGTGCTATTTAGAGATTGTTTTTGCATAATAATTAAAATGCCATACTGCAACAGTGAGTATGATAACACATCTCCAAACATCAAAGTGACCATATCAATAGCTATCCAAAGGAATTTGATACCTTAAAACAATTGTAAACAAAGGATCAATGTGCACATGGTAATTGTTTCTTACATTTTATGGGGCGGTCGGGTAGCCTGGTGGTAAAAGCGTTCACTCGTCACGCTGAAAACACTGGTTTGATTCCTGACATGGGTACAATGTGTGAATCCCCCGCTGTGATGTAGCTGGAATATTGCTAAAAGCGACATAAAACCATACTTAATCATTCATTATATATATATATTTACATATACCGGTAGTCGGAATATTTCTGAGCATGACAACAAACACACCAAACCCATCTCGATAATCCCCTGTTCTTGTTGTTAAGTCAACTTCCTGTTCCATGTTCCTGTGGTCCTAAGGGTGTGCTTCTACCTGTAGTGTCATCGGTGTTGTTTAGTGTCTGTTGTTATTTTACTACCTCTTTCCTTCACTTGTCTGGATATGTGATGTTACTGAGTTGCTTAATCATGGCCTTTGGTAAAGGATCTGTGTTAATCTCTGCTTCATGATTGGATTGAAATTCAAAGCTAAAGTGCTTTTGGTCCATGGTCTCCATTTATAGTTTAAATCTTTATGTTGTAATTAGTGCCTTGCGTGAAATTGGTCACTGTCTCTGTGTTTTAAGATAAATCCCAAATTTATAGATTGATAGATATCACAAGTCCAACAAATTTGTTTTTTATTTACCTGAACAAACCTGGCACAGTCAGTGCCTGGTTGCCCTTTCTCATATTTAAGCTAACTAGTCATTCAGAAAGAAATTCTGAATTCTGTTAATAATTTAAACTTTTGAGACAAGCAAACTGTAACATTTGTAAGACTGATCCTTTAATCTAAGGTTAAGAAGAAATAGCATGAGATGAAATATATATACCGTATTTGACGTAATAAGCGCCCAGGGCGCTCTCAAAATTACAAATAGTGGGCTCTTATTAGAATATTATTTTGGTGGAAAAAACAGAGATGAAAGATAAATTTCGTGGTTTATGCTGACAGCCTGAAATGTTTATGTACGACAGATATATTTTTCCAGAATTTAATTGCCCATAATTAAGGGTGCATATAACACACAAGTGCGTATTATACGCGAATATAAAAGTCTTGTGTACATTCATCAATCGGAAGGGGTGCTAATTCGGATTGTTCACTAGCTAATATGTTAGCAATTATCGCCATGGGCGCTTATTAGAGCGGGGCGCTTATTACGTCGAATACGGTAACTGATTTACATCTTCCATGATAAAGGCACTTTACTTTTCTTTTACTGTGTTATTATTCAATCTCTCTACATCCATCCACCAGATGCAGGTATTTTGAAATATATTTCCAATAAATACAAGTAATTAATTAATTTATGAATCATATATATCTATTTGTTAGTATTTCAAGCAATTTAACCTTTGGGGAATTCTGGGACAGAATAGGTAACTGTACCTCATCCTTGTCATAAGAGTCGTCTAAAAGGAGAACAGGTGGTCAGTCTATGTGACATGGCTGTTTATGTGTCATCACACGCAGATGCACTGAATCGTTGCACCTGTCTTCAACCGCTGGTCTGCCTGGTCCAGACTCCATTATTTACGTCTTGGTCAGGCTGCGGCTTTAAACAACATTCACTCACCCACTCACTCGAACCATTATATTAATATAAAAAATATTTACTGTTTCACAAACATGTTAAATGTATTGATAATAATTAAAAATTAATCATACATTCTTTATAACTAAATAACTACAGCCATTGTCTTATAGAAGGTGTTTTGCTGAGAGCAATATACATGAATCTAATAACTACAGTATGTGGAATGAGTGAGTGAGTAAATATTGGCGGACCCCCTAGTGAACAATATTCCAGCTATTTTCTGACTGCCTGTAAATATTCAAATCTGGACCCTGCAAACCACCGACTGAGAGCCTAAGAAATAGTCATTGAGGAACGATGACATGCAATCAGCCACGTCTCTGATTCTGATCCCAAGATCCCCATGGTTGCTTGGTCTTACAATAAGCATGAGATACTGGGGCCAATTCAGATCTGGATTCTCCAAAAGGTTGGATCAATCAAGTAGCTTAGTGGCATGTCTGTCTAAACATTAATTTGTCTTGACATTATATATTAATACCACAGTAATGATGCATGAAGACATGAATCATCCTTAAGTGCTTCTGTTACAATAGGCTTATTAAAATGAATGTCTTGTTTCTCAAATTGCCCATCTAAAATTGCCGATGTCCCTAATATTGTTGTATTTTTACTTCTGATATTGTTGATGTTTTAGACTCAGATTTCATTTTTTACACCAGATTCCAACTTTTTGAATGAGCCATGCTGTCCATAGTGTGAGAGAACCCCAAAATCATCACCATGGCCTATGGTGACTTTGAACTTCGAGTCAAAGGGGGCGTGACCAACAAGGTCTTGTGGTACATTAGAATCAAGTTTATTTTTGTAGATTTTTAACTAAGAAAAAATTAAAAAAACAAAATATCCTCCTTCCTTACCCATTCAGTTTTATAGAGGGCAACGAGAAACAAGACTATTTTTTTAATTGGCCTGAAAGACCACAAATGATGCATGACATGACCTCTATGTGATACTTTCAGTGTTTTGTTCAATGGAGCATAGCAGCATTGTCTGCATTCGGACCATGTGCTGGTGAACCCAGATATGTAAATATATGTCTTAGCTATGGCGAGATACTGAGTAATTCTACACTTGGACTAGGTCACAACCACTTGTAGTATAGAACAACAGTGTGTGGAGCTTACAGCCATACCCAAGGTCCTCATATAGCATGGATTGTATCAGGAAGGTGGTGTGTTCACGGAGCCAAAATGTCAAAATATCGGTATGTCAATGTTGTAGTAATTTCTGTAGATATTTATTAGGCTGCCTCATTCATGTATGAGGCAACTGACAAGTATACATGTGTAGGAATTATTCTACTTTCTGTTTGAATGAACATGAATGAAAGGGTTTGTTGGGTTTAAAATGTGTCATAAATATATGATATGTATGTACTGGATTTTTTGTTCCATTTAGTTTGTTAAATGATATGGTAGGGTTTTAATGTGTAAAGGACCATGTTATGCGTTTGATGTAAATATAGATCCCTGTTATGATTAATGCCTGTCTGTGTCATGGTAATACAGCATACCAGTTTGTTAATTATGACTACACCCCTCTAAAGTATGTCAGCCTGATGGTAGCTAGCTTACTTACAAAGCTCACCAGCATCCATGTGTCATGGTTATTTAAGAAGATAAATATTTGTATATTGGAAATTGATATGTAAACAATAGCCTACTTATTATTCAATGATATGTTTATTTAAGCATGTGCAATGACAGTCCTCAAGTGACAGAGGAAATACCTCTCATTCTTGTATTGACATTGCGTGCGTGTGTTGTTTCGGGACTATGGTTTCTGGTTACACCATAATGATTAATCGGAACAGTTTGTTTCACATCAAAGTCTAAAGTAGAGAATTATACAAATATTAATTGTATTTGTTATGAATGACCTGCTCCAGCATGGTCTGTGGATAAGAATTCTGTGAATTATGTAATATCATGTCCTAATCGTGGGTCCCTCCCCGTGTCCAATGTAAGATGGAGGGTCCTGATGGAGGGTCCTGATGGGGTTACTGACAAGTGTAAACACAATTAAAGGGCAAGTAAAGTGAAAAAAGAAAGATTGCGATTTTGTTGCGAATATAAATGTTCCTAGGTAATTTTGTCAATTTACGAGAGAGAAAAATATTCATAGAAAGTAAATGTCCAAATGAAAGTGCCTAAATCACACACTCTGTAATCGGCTTCCAAAACAAACCTATTTGGGAGTGTGTCCTAAAATACCGGTGCAGCGGTGACAACTGTTTTCATTCACTGATATGTTTGCCGCATCTATCTATCTTGTGATTCTTATCCGTTATACATAATACTGTTTCTGGTAATTCTGTTAATCCTACAAGTATTACAACATTGCATACATTGTTGAATGTGTGAAAGAATCTTTGATCTTGACATTGTGAATAATGAAAATAACAAGTAACAATCGGTAACTAGGGTTTTATATCTAACATCCTGTTTGGGTAATAAACATCATAAGGCACCAGCCGCCCTCAGCCATATTCCACACCATAAATGCCTATCAGGCATTAATCCCCTGAGGAAACAGAAGAAGGCATCTTCAGTGTTGTTACTGAGGTGAAAAAGACATAATGTATTAAAAACCCTGAGGCAAAAGCAGGTAGACTGGGCATCAGTCATTATCATCATAATCATTTAAAATTGTGCAGTGTGTCCAACACTGGGAACACGTTTAACCCCAGTAAGGGGAATCCTCTCAGTGGAACCCCATTTCACCTCACACACCAAATCTTTTCCTAAGGTATCGGGGCGGTCGGGTAGCCTAGTGGTTAAAGCGTTCGCTCGTCACGCCGAAGACCCGGGATCGATTCCCGACATGGGTACAATGTGTGAAGCCCATTTCTGGTGTCCCCCAACGTGATACTGCTGGAATATTGCTAAAAGCGGCGTAAAATGAAACTCACTCACTCACCTAAGGTATCATTTGTACTGAACACTGCCTAAGCTAGTTGGACAAGTGCCAGATTGTAAGACTGTGCAAACAATCCTTCCTTCCATGCTATTTTGAAGACATCAAATATTTTCAGCTCCTTCTTTGTTTTCAAGGAAAGAGACACAAGATTGATAAATAGGTCAATATCACACTTTCCTTTGTATTCTCAATTTCATATTTAATGGAAATGTTTCAATAACTTGTTCAGTGGCCTTAATTTGTTACAGGGCCACATGTGGCCCAGTCGTCTTAGGGGCTGCAATTTGCCTTGCGTCCCTGAGTTGCGTTTCTTGAGTTACGTCCCATGTGCATATCAGGAACCTATGATAGTGGCTTCAAATGCAGGTTTGTCCTGAATATGTTTTTAGGTTTGTCAGCACCATACCCGTGCTCACATCTTCCCAAGGCAAGGGAGTTAACTGACTGTAAAAGTCCAGTTTCCACCCTTGCTAAACTAGACTGGAATTTCTGTGCTCGGAAGTAGCGCCACCAGTGGCTGTTACAATTATGTACTTCTATGTCCATCCTATTGACCAAACAGATACTCTCTCTCATATCTCTTGCATTTGCTTTAAACAAAATGGGGGCGCCCAGTCAAGACGATCTGATCAATAATTAAAATCTATATTTCAATTTAACACGTCTTACTTCGCGAAGTGCATCAAATCAAGTGAGCACCTTGATTAAAGGCATGAAAAAATTTGGAAAATATCTGTTGATGCCGAGTTGGCGGTACACATGCTTTGCAAATACTGCAATCGACCGATATCTGCATGGTAGTTTTTTAACCAGCTGTTTATTACGTTACACGATTTTGATTGGACTATGCATAGACTCATTAGTCCAACCAAAATATAACTCCATAATTCCTGCCTAGTTCAGCAAGGGTGGAAACTGGACTTTTATAGTCAGTTTACTCCCTTGCCTCAGAAAGATGCTTGGCTCGAGGGTTTCACCAATGTGGTAAATGTCTAAGACCAGCATCACTTTAGGTTTTTCTCCCACATTAAGCTGACAGAACGTGATAGAACTGGAATACTGTTCAAAGCAGTGCTAAACACAGCTCACTCACTTAATTTGTTACTGTTATAACAAGAAGGGAAATTACCTTTGCAGTTGAGTAGAACTGACGAGAACTAGGATCTAATTTTAATGAGATTGCTGAACTTGGTACATAGATACGGCTAGTAGTGAACTGGTGCCTTTTGATAGTTTGGGTTTTCTGACAAATTTGTTTTTCTAGTTTCCTTAGCAACAACTTTGACATAGTCTGTAAATGGTTGTAGTTGTGTGATCACTATAACTTACTAGTTGACATATTCCCAACAAGTATACTGCAGGGTATGTCAAAGACTTTGTCCTCTTGTATTGCTTGGTTTGCAGATTTATTCTCTCAAAATGCCTGTGAAGCCCATATCTGGTGTCCCCCGTCGTGATATTGCTGGAATATTGCTAAAAGCCCTGTATGTCCACACTCACTCACTCAAAACATCTGTAGTCAAAATAATAATGTAATATATTTTCCTATGACCACAACACCATTGTATTTAGTGAAACTGAGTGGGAATAAAATAACTGTTCTCATTATTCAAATTTAGGGTCGGCAGATCTGTAGACCATGTACAAGAAATACACATGGTCTTCCAACTTGAAGTTAAGATTGCAGGAAACATTTGACCGTCTTTGTGCCTAACATATCAATTATTGTTTCTGTGTTTGTTTTGTTTGTTTGGTTGCTGATGTTTAGCACTTTGCACTGTGATTATTCATGTCCTTGACACTATGCTACACCATGAGTCTGAACCTTATTCAGATGTAGTGTACACTCATCAACACTTTAGTGCAACCTGGTCCAAACTACTTGAGCCAGGCCAATTATCAGTGTGGGTGGGGAATGGCAAAACAAAAAATATGGAATATTTTAAGTGATATATTTCAGCAACATGAATGTAAAATGAGAGTCTGATGTGAATCAGGAAGGAGACTATTAGGAGCTTATCATGAAAATATCAGATGGGCCATTACCATGACTACCGTTTAGAAAAGGCTCATTAAAATCAGAGTTTTTATTCCAATACGATATCTCTCTGCATGAAAATCTGAGGACTCTGAGAATACAGGATGTTCCAGTAATGTTACTATAATGTTATATTACAAATTGCAAATTTTCATTGCTTACTTGAAGATTTTGTGATAACCCGCCTGCATGGGTATGGTGCTGACAAAGCTAGAAACATTATCAGAGCGAACCAGGATTCCAACTTATAATCATAGGTTTCTGGTGTGCCTAAGGGACACAACTCTGCCCAGTGAATTGTGGTGCCTTTGGAGACTAGGCCACCTGTGCCACCTGTGCTCCTTATGGCATCTGAACAACTCTGATTTCTTGAAGGCAAAGGAAAATTAAATGAAGCTAAGGGTGTTTGTCAAATGTTTTGATAGTGATTATAAAACAGTTTTTCAACATTTTCACATGTTTGCAACTTAGAAACAAAAACTTTTTTATATTATTTAACATGTAAAGAATTATTTGGTACAGAATATTTCAGAGCTACCAATCCGATTTAACCATGTTTTTCATTATATGACTCAGCTCCTATGACAGTATATTATGTAACTATGGTAACAAAGCAGCCATTGGCTGCATTTATATACTGTCAATGTTACCATGGTGACAGCAGCATAGATCCAAAACACACCCAGTTTGGGTATTCTGCTTAGATTATCCAGGGCGTTTTAGGAGCAGAATAACCACAGTACCCATGGAAGTTATAAGTCATAATGAGAATATGCTGGTTTAATGTGGGATCTGAATGATTTGTGTGTCGTTTTTATGGTTTTTTAATTAGTCTGTAGGTACTTGGGGGAAAATAAATAGAAGTTATCACGCTTGTGTGTTTAGGGATGGTAAATATCCTGTATTAGGAACAAACACTATGTATTTAACCCGCCAAGGCTTGCTAAATACAGTGTTTATTTCTAATACTGGATAACACACAAGCGTGATAACCTCTTTATCATATAATGTCATTCTTCAATTCTGTGCTTGAAAATGGCTTTCCATCTCTCACAAACATAACCGAAACATTGCAAGTTTTCCTGGAATGTGCGCATTAATATATATTACGTCACAGGGTAAGTGATGTGTCAGTCGGACAGTGACAGTATAGCCAATATAGTTCCAACTGAAATCTGTTTCTTATACGGTGGCGAAACAACGTACATGTATACGCAAAACAACAATTGCCTACACAACTTACTTTTACTTGCCTTTCGCGGCAATCCATTGGATTGTCTGCTAGAGTAATTGCCCTTTGTCAAAGGGAAGCTACTCTAACCCTAGTCTATGAGACATCAAGGCCACAGTCAGACATTGTTGACAGTCGGCCTGTCCTGTCATAATGTTAAGAAGTGCAGTCAGATGTACACACAGTGACAAAACGAAATAAGTTACAATTCGAACATATTTTGGCCAAATCCAACTATTTTAATTTGTGGAAAAGGTTCCAAGCCACAGAGGTCGACCAGCCCAGATATAGCTACTGATCCCGCTTGGCTAGACCTAGTGCCCTCGCAAAATTGATTCGCAATTTATATCTCCAAAGTTGCCAAAACTTGTAAAATGCCTTAGCTACGTCACAGTTAGACACTGATTTTCAGTATTTTATATTCTATTGATAATGATACCAATTATCCCAGTAGTTTCTCCAGATTCCTGATAGTTAATTCTGACTTGATCGCCGAATGACAAGGTCGACTGAAACACTGAAAGTAGTCCCTACTTGACCTTTGATATTTGCATCTCTATCCACATATGACCCCAACGGATATTGTTTTTATCCGTTGACTTTCTCCTGCCAAGAAACCTACCCTTTATATGATAAAATGAAATATCACCCAGTGAATATTTAATTGTACATTCTGAATGTGTAGATGGTGTTATTCAACAAATATCACCCCGCGAATATGGACATGTGTATTCTGAATACTACTGTAAAAACTGTGTATTCATGTGGAAACAAAATAAAACAGTATGGAATTTTTTTTTTTTAATGTTGTGAGTCAGGTGTTCAAAGGTGAGGTGGGCAGGGGTGAAGATCTAATAAAAAAAAATTTTCGGCTTAAAGACTATTTCAACTTCATGTAGTAGAGTGAGCTATTCATTTGGAATTCCGATCTCACTGTGCATGTTCTACAACCCTTCAGCTTATCTCATGTAGTTGTAGTGATACTGTGAGTGATTTGCAGCTGTAAGTGTCCTACTCGCTTGACTCCCTCTCACACTTTCCTTGAAATGAGACCCGAGTTCTCCTTGAACACTGAGCAGGATTACCGTGTTGCTGTAAACAGGAACATGCAGCACAATGTTTCTCCATGCTCTAGCAACTAATATCCTGTTGTGAAATACTTGGAGGCATGTTAAAGGAAATAGGCCTTTAGTGGTAAAATACTTTTTGTCAGAGTCAAATGTTGAAGTTAGGCAATTTACAAAGTGTTCTTGTTCCTTATGACTTTTTCAAAACTGACTGGTTCCAGAGTGAGGATTTTATTTGTCTGTTTCTTTTCTTTGGAAGGTTTTTGATCTATGAATGTAAACATAATCTTATGTATAATCTGACCTTTTTTGGTGCCCTGTGTGTCTTCAAGTATGAAGAGTCATGCTTGAGGCAATGGTCCCATGCATTCTGACATACTATGGATGGCATGGTATGATCAAAAAGTTGGATCCTTGTGCAAAAACAAAATCTGAGTTGAAACAGTTGCTTTATAAGTGCTTAAAATATATATGTAAATTCATTAGAAATAAGGGTAATTTTAGAGGCAGGCATGTCATGAGGAACAAGAAACTTATTTTAACTCGTCTTATAATCAAGACTTTCACTAATCAACACCTATAAACTGAACTTCCCATCACTACTAACATAGCAACTGTTGTATCTCAAGTGTATGCTTTGATCTGATTAATTATGATGTGTAATAATATTTCTATTATGTGATATTTCCAGCAGAAAAAATATAACTATAAAGTAAATGGAAAAGTAAATGTGTTCATGTTAAGTCATTTTATACTGTTAAAAATGGGCTTTGAAAACATCAAGTTATCAACCCACCACCTGTGTAGTCAACAAAACTCTTAATTGCTAGGCCATTGCAGGCCCTCCTACCTATATGAATTAAAAGCATTGAATGGGTTTAAAATGAAGGCGTATTGGTAGCATTGTTGCGTATTGGAGCTGAATGCATTTATTATGCAAACGAAAAGAAACACTATCGGATTTGACAGCGGTCATTAGCGGAATATGTGCACAGCTGCTATGGGAAACTTGGTCAAATACAGCGGAATAACTTCAGCTGTATCCGTCAAAAACAGCGTTTAATAAATGTCGGCGATAAACAAATAATCGACAAACAAAGTAATTTCTCTTTGGTTACTCTGACTCAAAATCTTGACTTTAAAGCATAAAATCTATGGCATTGAGCAACTAGTATTCATATGCATCAGAATTTGTTATCTTATTTTGGAGACGTGTTTTCTTGTATCAATTGTCGCAAATAAATGGGCAGTAGTCAGGTATGGTCTCTGAACACACTGAAGATGTCTGACATCTCACACATCAAATCCCAGCAATCTTTACAAGTGTGTGGTAACCAAAACATGCATCATGTTCTGAAAATGGTATATGTTAATAAAATACATATAAATTAATATATTTGTTTAAGTGCCGATCAGCCACAGACGAATTCCTTACTGTTGACATTGACTACAAGAATTTGTATTAGCCCTGTTATATCAACAATTATTAAGCAAATACTAGGTCTAGCTCTAAGACATAAACATTGAATGAAATAATGGGTGAATTTATCTAGCTCTATGATGATAAGCTTTCCATTCAACTCCCATGAAAATATGTCGATAATGCATACAAAATACAGTTTGAATAATCTGTATCGAAGGGTAATTATGATTTGCGTTCAATGCATGTTAATTTCTTAATTAAAATTACATTCTCTGGAGATTGATTAAACACTTCCCCACTACTGTCAGCCATGTTCACATCTGTGGCCACAGAAGGCGTTGTTCTAGTTCGGCAAAATGCGGATTTTAATGGATATGACCGATGTGTTCAGTTGCCGATGCTGTTGGTTCCAATAGCGGCTGTGTCGTGATTCCAATGAGAAACGCTGTAATGACAATAGTTACTGCATTTATATTAGAATTGAAACTATTCCTTCTTACTTTGTTGCTATCCACATGATATTGCTTATACTAATTTCAATAATGCTTCTCTTCATTCAAATAGATAGGAAGGCCTGCTTTGGAGACCATTTTTATGTGTAATGTTTGCAGTGTTGAAGAAAGCTGCATCTAGAAATATTTTCAAAATTGGTGAAATAACTAGAAGCTGGCTGTTTTATGTATGTATGAAAATCTGTATTAATTTATTTTTTGAGTCAAAATCTGTAAAAATGTTTGATGTTCATCTTCAGCCCAACCTAACACTACTAACACTTGTAAAAAACAACAATGAAGTTATGAGTTATGTTTCAAAACACAATATTAAGTCACATATGCACAGCTTCTTTTCTGTGCTATCATTGGAACATTAATATTTGTTGGTAATGTATTAAAACATAAAGTGATCTTTAACCAATCAAGTCAGCTGCTAACTTCCTGTTTAACAAATTGGTCTTAGGAACACGACTGTACCGCTAGCAGTGCAGAGCTGTAGCGTCAGTATTCTCCAACCATTAAATGTGACTCAAGGTCACTGCTTCAGGGCTGTAAATAGCGGCACTAACCAGCATTGTATCAATAGTCAGTGTGTTAATACACGCACCAGTTTGTGAGCTTTCCACCTGTTGTTAAGGCCTAACCGATAAATATATCTTTATGATTATTTTGATTTGACCTTCCATTCTTTTGCAGATATTTAAAAACATTTACTTATAGAACATCCATTTGATTTGTTTGGGGGGTTGATTTTTTTTTAGAACAATCTATGTGGTCTTTAAAAGACATTTGGAAGTGATACACATAAGGAAGAGAATGTATGGATGTCAACTTCTTTATTATGAGGAACACAATGTTTCGGAGTATATACTTACTCCTTCATCAGGTGAAAGAATGACATGAGACAGAGAGCATATATATGTACATGTAAGGACAACAAAAGTGATAAGATAACAAAAGGTGGAAAATAACAAAGGGTAGAAACAAACAAGGGAAGCCAACAGATGATTGGCACTGATAGGTGATTAGCAATAGACAATGGAACAATCTATTTGTTTCCCAACTGTATCCTGGCACGGGTTGCCCAGTTGTCTAAGGCGCCACGATTCGCTGTGCAGAGTTGCGTCCCTTGGGCATGCCAGAAACCTATGATTGTGGAATCGAATCCCGGTTCGACCCGATTATGTTTCTAGGTTTGACAGCACCATACCTGTGGTCGTGGGTTTCACTGTATCGGTAAACATCTGAGACCTGCATCACTTTGGGCTTTCCTCCCACATTAAGCTAAGCTGACACACCGTGATATTACTGGAATATTGTTAAAAGCGGCGTTAAACCCAACTCACTCACCCAACTGTATCCAGCAAACTATTTATTTACTGCACACCATCAAACAATCTATTCATTTTCGCTATTAGCACCACAAAAATTGACATTTGGGTGTCTTCCATGAAACAAACCATTCATTTTGGGCATATTTGTGAACAAACTATTAATTTAAAAAATCTTCCCACCGATCAAATGGATGCTCCCTTACTGGTAGATAAAGTATGTGTTAAGGAGTGGACAGTTTAGGGAAATACCATTTATAATTAACATAAAACTTATTACCGTATTCGACGTAATAATCGCCCAGGGGGCTCTTATTAGAATATTATTTTGGAGAAAACAAATAGAGTTGAAAGAGAGTTTATGTGGTTTATGCTGACAGCCTGAAATGTTTATATACGGCAGATATATATTTCCAGAATTTAATTGCCCATAATTAAGGGTGCATATAACACACGAGTGCGTATTATACGCGAATAAAAAAGTCTTGTGTACATTGATCAATCGGAAGGGGTGCTAATTCGGATTGTTCACTAGCCAAAATATTAGCAAATATCGCCGTGGGTGCTTATTATGTCGAATACGGTACTTATATTCTCATGTCACACATTTAATTTTAGATTTTGGTCATTATTCTAAAGTTTGTCAACATAAACGTTTTGTTTTTCAGGAAGAAGTCGAGAAAAAGGCCAACAACTTCTTCGTTGAAGGCGTTTTGGATCCATATATGCTACCGGGTAATATTCTTTGAGGTCATGATGAAATGTTTGATGATGAATTTGTCTGATGTTAATTTATTAAAAACTGTGTTGTATGAATCCATTGCTCACAGGGTAGGATGGTACATTAAAACCAGATATTTCACTCCACTTTGATACCTCTTTACATATCCTTTATAGATCTCTTCAGGTGAACGTTATAATCAGCCTGCTTGGAGGTGTCTAAATTCTCGAAATGACCACGGAATGCAGTCGGATCAGCATAACAGATTTCTGTATCTTGAAAAAAACATTAATGGGCAGCTCCAAATGGAGAATTATGAAAAAAATTACATCCTGTCATTTTCTGAGTGCCATCAATGCACTATCAAAGGAACATACATGCCTTGGTCTTCTTTGGTTCAGACTGAATTTGCCAGATCAAAGACAGAAGCCGTGAATGGCAACAAATTGTGTTGGCAAAATGAAGAATGTAGTGAAGGGAAACCCTTTTTGAAAGTTAACATTTGACTGGCTCAAAAAACACCGTAGCTTTCATTTTGCTTGGCAGTATGCACAGGGTTCACCTATCATGACCTCCTATCAAGGATTTGTCAGATAGTGATGGAGATAGGTTCCTAATCAACGTGTGTATATTTTAGTTGCCATGAACCAACCTCTTAGCTTCTTTCATTTCAGGAGAAAAGTTGATAGCCAAAGCAGATGGCATTCTGAAGTTTGTTCCCTTCTCCGACAGAAAACAGGGTGTCTCTGGACATTTGTTTGTCACAAACTTCAAGATCACATTTGTCACTGCAGACAGGTCCTCCTACGGTCAAAACGAGGTAAGATGTAGTTATGTTGTGGTGGACATGAAGTTAGTTGTGGTGAATAGCATACTTCAAGCAGAGGGTCTACCAGGTGGTTTTATCGCTCATATTGAAAAGGCATTATAAATTTATCGAACATTTTTATTATTTTTATTCAATTATTATATTTTATTTAAATGAATATATTTTTTATGCTGTTCAAAGCTTCTATTGACATATAGCTGTTGACAGATAAGTTTCAAATGAAGCGTGAATGTTTTGTCATGGCATGATGGATTAACTATAGTAATATGAAAGAATCAGGTGTTCTTTAACTTCTTTGGAGTCCCTGCAGTGTAGTAATGAGAAGCGACCCGTGAAGATTCCGGTGTAAAAAAGGTCTTCAGCAACCCATACTTGCTGTAAAAGGCGACTATGCTTGTTGTAAAAGGCGACTAATGGGATCGGGTGGTCAGGCTCGCTGACTTGGTTGATACATGTCATCGATCCCAATTGCCTGGATTGATGCTCATGCAGACTCGATTATTTACAGACCGCCATCATATAGCTGGAATATTGCTGAGTGCAGCGTTAAACAACAAACCAAACAAAGCAGGGTGTTTGGTAGTGAGACTCGCACAATGAAAATGTAACAGTTTGTTCAGGCTAACTGGCCACTGATCAGTTATCACCATTTTTTCATTTTCTGAAATATTTGGAAATTAAAGTTTACTGTACCACTTCCTTGACTTTATGGAAACTATGTGTAAATGCACTCATTTCAGTGAGAGGAAGAAAGTTTGTATTGGTTTCTTTTATACCATGAAGAGAAGGAATCAATACAGGCAAAATAGAACTTTCCTGTTGGCGATAATTGGTCCGCACAATAACTGATCGCTATTTGGTAAGGCTTTAGAATTTTTTTTAAATGACCCAAGAATAAAAGGAGAAGATTAATAAATTTTATTTTATATTGATTACAATAGTAAATGATACATCTAATGTAGTATAAGAGAGTATCTTCTGGGGGATGTATTGAAGAGGATGTGAATGTTTCACAATGAGTACTAGCATCACAGCATGCTTTGTGTCCTGGGTCTTTTGACGGAAGTTGAAGGAACTAGGGATGAGAATAAATATATTCACCACTACATCCGTTGTGATTTGAGATGTTTAGGCGGCATTGTGATAATTGGTATTTCACTTCCTGATTCAAACCGCCTGTAATTAATGTGTGTTTAGCATACAATTTTATCAAATCAGTCAACCAGTATCGTCTATCTTTGTTTCAAATTGGTTTTACTCAGTTGGTGATCATATGACATGAAACCTCAGTTTTACATGTTATGAAATGGAAGTTCATACATTGATGTGTTATTGATATTTTTACATAAAAACCCATGACAGCCTGAGCAATCAAGTCATGAGACTACAAACCAGTGGTTGATAGCGTGAACAGGCAACCATATAAGGGTGCAATGATACAGCCAACCAAGGTGGCACCACCCAGATCCTCTATAGTCAGGAAACACCCTGTTCCTTAATAGTCCTCACTTACTACAGTGGAGGTACACTGAGCAGTGTAGCAGTGGTTTTCAGTGTATGAATGTATGAGTGTATGAATGTATGAGTGTATGAATGTATGAATGTATGAATGTATGAATGTGACCCAAGTTCAAGTCCAAAGGAACAACTATTACATTGATAAGTCAGTTATGGCATTTGGAATTTGATCATGTAGACTGTTTATAACATGTGTAAGATATCAGGTGAGGTGAAATGGGGTTTAACGTCGCGTTCAATATTATTACACTTGTATAGCGATGTGTGTGTGTGTGTGTGTGTGTGTGTGTGTCTGTCTGTCTGGCTGTACTAGTCGATGCCGATTTATAGTGCTAGCCCATTGAGGTACCATGCCACAGTTTAACATGAATACCATACTCAAACACAGTACACTGAGTCCGAACCGACCAGTCCTTGTTTTAGCAACTTAATGCAGAGCGCCAGGGTAACAATAATATAAACTAGTAGTGTACAATGAAGACTATTCATTTGTATGTCTTTGCACGATCAAACTTACAGTAAGAGTTTGAAAACCCAATCAAAACAGCATTTTCAGACATAAAACAAATGTTTCAAATCACTTATGAACAATCAAACAACTTTTGACAGACAACTTGGAGCTCCTATTTGTACATTTAGATAGTGTATTTGTCAAATTGTTGTATAAGTGTAGCTACATTAAATAATTATGTCATTGTTTAATAAATTGAACATTTCATAGTTCACTTTTGTGACATTTTTCAAATTATGAAAACAAAACTTCAACATGGTCCAAACAGGTCTTTGAGAGTGAGCTATTAGTATTACTGTCCAGTGTAAGTGACTGCAGTAGGATCACATGTGAAGTTCATGGTCAGTAATCCTGTGCCCTGTATCAGGTCGTAGATAACCTTTGCCCTCCACGAGTGCTGTTATCTTACCTCAAGTGCTCTATGCTTGAGATGATCATCTGTCCTCATTAACTTTCTTAAGATTGTTTACTGCAGGGTCCGGGTCACTTGGGACTGAGGCACTTCTCAATTTCAGTTTCTTATCTTGACCAGTTTCTTGTTTTACATATTTTACCAGAATGCATGTAAAGAGTCTGGAGGCGATATATCAAAAGATATACTACTCAAAGGAAGTTAGGAACAACACTGTTCTTTCATATTACTATGGTTAGTCTGTCATCTCCTTAACTTCTTTTGAACGGTATATTTATATATATATATGTATCACCTCAAGACTCGTCCCACGACATAATCTATACTAATATGAAAGAATCAAGTTTGATTTAAGGTTAATTTCCTTACAAATAAACACTATGAAATGAAGCGATAAAACTATTAACAAGGAATGTTTGAAAAAGGAAACTGGTCAAGATAAGAAACTGAAACTGAGAAGTGCCTCAGTCCCAAGTGACCCGGATCCTGCAGTAAACCAGTTTCTTGTTTTACATATTTTACCAGAATGCATGTAAAGAGTCTGGAGGCGATATATCAAAAGATATACTACTCAAAGGAAGTTAGGAACAACACTGTTCTTTCATATTACTATGGTTAGTCTGTCATCTCCTTAACTTCTTTTGAACGGTTCTTTATATATATATATGTATCACCTCAAGACTCGTCCCACGACATAATCTATACTAATATGAAAGAATCAAGTTTGATTTAAGGTTAATTTCCTTACAAATAAACACTATGAAATGAAGCGATAAAACTATTAACAAGGAATGTTTGAAAAAGGATATTTTCAATCAAATACAGTGATTAATTTAAATTAGTTGTATTTTTTAATTTATTTTTTTATGTTCTCATATATAGGGAGCATGAGTGGCCTGGTCCCAGCAGGAGAAGGGGCAACTATTCCCTGTGTAGAGTTGCTTCCCTTTGTTGTGCTAGGATCAATCTGTATCAAGACTGTTCATGACAGTCCATATTTCTTGTGTATATTAAAGGTTTTATTACAGAAAACAGTAGTGTAGGAGTATATAATTTCCTTGCAACTGTTGTTGATAAAAATGCTTCACTGATGTTTGAACTACGTTTGTTCACAACCACTCATTCACTGAGAACAGGGGCGGTCGGGTAGCCTAGTGGTTAAAGCGTTCGCTCGTCACGCCGAAGACCCGGGTTCGATTCCCGACATGGGTACAATGTGTGAAGCCCATTTCTGGTGTCCCCTGCCGTGATATTGCTGGAATATTGCTAAAAGCGGCGTAAAACCATACTCACTCACTCACACTGAGAACAAATTTAACTTGTAGTGTATGGTTTTAATAAGCTCTCCTCTTTGTCAATTTTCTAAGGGCCCAGGGCAATTATTACAGCGAATATGGAAGTACTAGTATTTTAATACACTTACTCCTTCTCATGAATGATGGTGTCTGATTGTACCCTGACATTGTTCATTGTATGTAGCCCCTGTCACCGTGGTGATACTGGGTTAGAGTTTGTCCCCAGTAGTCTATGCTGGTCGTAAGAGGCGACCAACTGGATTGAGTGGTCAGGCTTGGTGACCTCGTTTATTGTATGTCATACTCCCGACAATGTGGATCATTGCTGACAATATCAATCACTGGATTGTTTGTTTCTGATCTGATTAATTATAGGAGGCTGTCATATAGCTGAAATATGCTATGAGTGTGGAGTTAGACAACGAAAAAAAACAAATGACCGTATTGATTACCAGACTGCAGTGTGATAGGTGTGAGGCTGCCGACAGCAGGAGACACCAGTCTCTCTGTAGAGTTGTATCGTAAAACCACAACTGAACACATCTAATGACCAAGACTAATCCAGCACTTACCCGTTCAGTTTCAGTGTGCCTTAGGTATGCAATCTCTAGTTTTATCCATGAGTCCAAAGACTGAATCTTGTAAATTTGTGTTCGATCTACTACGCTTAGCCTTCAGACATTTTAGTGAAATTCATGCATATGCATATTCATATGCATGAATTTCACTAAAGATTCCTGTGGATTAGCTGATAACAGTTTTTATGTTCCGACAAATATCTACTAAAACAATTTTCCATAGACAAGTTTGGGCTAATAGACTGAAAATTGTTGTCCACAGACTGGACACAAGCTAAAATATGTTGAACAGATATGCTTGACTCAGATACTAAAGAGTATTTCACCTCTTAAATGTACTTGCCCAATGTAGTCAATTAATATTTCAATATGACAAGAAACAGGGTTTTATGGCTTGTTTGCTTGCCCTGACCATAGTAGTTTATAAATGTGGCCAGTAATAGAAGGGAGACAACTCTCAACACCCATCATAATCTGTAATCCCAAATCCAGTTTCAAGGACGTCATTCTTTATATGACTCATTGTCATTTTGAAAAAGAAAGTAAAGAAATAACATGAAATGGCCACTCTACCCTACACTGAAGTCAGCCTACTGATCAGATGATGCTATGTTATCAACGTATGATATGATATGACCAATGCAAGGCGTCACATTGTCTTGTACTCAACAGTCAAACAGTAATACCACTTCAATTGACCATTAAGAATTAAGAATCACTTAAGGCAAAAACACAAATATCTAAATGTTATAACACTTGTCTCACAGGTAATATTTTGTTATATAATTACACTGCATTCAATTTAATTTACCTCTGAATATAAGAAAGTAAAGACAATGAAACAAACATGTTAATTATGTTCAGAAGAAAGAATGTTGTTTTTAAACATCTAACCATTGATGTTATATTTCAGGGCAGCAAGAGGCAGCGCAACAAGGTGTTGGGTGACCATGACATTCCACTGACAAAAGTCGACAGTATTTACCAAAGTGAGAAATAAGTCCTTCATGTACGTTCGGATAAAATGAAAACTTCAGCTATATTAAATGCAGGGGTCCCGAAACCGTCATATGCGCCGGACATGTCCGATTGGAAATCTCAAATGTCCGTTTTAAAATATTGCTTACCGGACATTTTAAAAAGTATTGTCCGGACATTCTTAAATTTTGACCGGACATGATCAACAGTTTGGACTGAGCAGTTTCTGTCTGCAGTTGCAACACAATGAAGATTAACTACGCTGACAAGCTTTGTTTGTTTTGATTGCTGTAAATACATCGTACCTACATGATAGTCCAATCGGTCAATCACTGTAATAGGCAATAAACTGAGTTGACACTGATTAATCAAGGATTAATTACTGAGAACATCTTGTTAATTTGAGTGAAAGGTGTTTACAACTGTACATTAATACCTTGCATCATCGATGTACCTCATTATCCTCACAATGCTACGATACGTAACCTCAGACAAGAAGCGAAAGCGTGACGACAGCCAGTCGACCGATGCAGATCAGTCGAGCGGATCTGCCAAACCCTCAAAGTCTGGACGATCATTTTGTAAGTCGTGGCTAACGACTTTCACTTGGTTGACATACAATGAGGATTTGCAGATTATATTGTTTTCGGTAGCCAGTCGTATATTGAATCTTGATTGACCCCCATTTTGCTTTCTCGGACGATCGATATCCAATTTTTTTATGGTCAATAATAAAGTACAGATGAAAAAAGTATTCAAATAACTATTGCGATCAACGATATTTTAGTATTGGTGATTAAATTATCTGTCTTGTTTTTAAATAAATCTTCAGTTTAAAAAAAAAGATTTCCCATGAGGTCACGTGATAACCAAATATGGGATAATAGTCTCGATCCAAATGTTACAACGCGTACACTTGAGCAGACTCATGAATATAACTCATGAATATTAATTAGACCGTTCACTACGTTAACAGATCGTTATTATAACAGAAACAAACGTATGTTTTCCATGTAAATCTAAAATGATATTATTTGTTATTAATTGTCCGGTGAATTAAACAATTTAAATTGAAACAATTCATAATTCATCATATTATGAATACGTAAACTTGTAATGTGTGTGAAAAGCCATACTAAAATACGCTGTTTGAAGGGGGCGTGGCCTAAATGCAAATTTCCGATTGGGATTTTAAATTTTCCGGACCCCTGATTAAATGATTTGGGTATATTTCCTTCATGTCAGATGGTGTTAATATAATATCTTACGTGAAAGAACACACAATCTTTTCATATGACTAGAGGTAATGGCAGACGGGCATTGCAACACACAGCCTTCCAAAAGTAGGTGTTCTTTAGCTGTTGAGTGAGTTCATTAGCATCCGTCAACCACAGAAAGTGACTCGTTACTTGTCTATTCGTCCAATGGTTATAATGGGTACATTTCTGGAGGGGCAGACACCACCATAGGTAGAACACACTCTCCTAACTCTACCTTTATCTGTTGACATGGAGCTATCACAATGAAGTCTTATTGAAAATCCAGATCAACATGGTTTAACATGGAAACATAAGTGAGAGTTGGGTCTGATGAAATCTCATTACACTCAGATCATTTACTCCCATGGAGAGTTCATCAGATCTTCCCACAGAGAAGAATCAAAGATTAGCTTTTTGTGAGGTATTGCATCAGTCACAACTCACATTCCTTTGATTAAAAGATCTGATTTTAATGAGATTGGTGAGTTTTTTTATATATTGTGTAATGTTTCTGTCGTCAGTTGTGTCTGGAGGCAAGAAACGGAAACTCCAGGCAGGGGCATCTGTGTCTAATTCTACAAAGTACCTTGAGCTACACTGCAAGGTGAGACATGACATACTGGTATCCCCTGACATCCAAGGTGAGACATGACATACTGCTATCCCCTGACATCCAAGGTGAGACATGACATACTGGTATCCCCTGACATCCAAGGTGAGACATGACATACTACTATCCCCTGACATCCAAGGTGAGACATGACATACTGCTATCCCCTGACAACCAAGGTGAGACACAGCTGACATACTGGTATCCCCTGACATCCAAGGTGAGACATGACATACTGGTATCCCCTGACACCCAAGGTGAGACATGACATACTGCTATCCCCTGACATCCAAGGTGAGACATGACATACTGCTAGCCCCTGACATCCAAGGTGAGACATGACATACTACTATCCCCTGACATCCAAGGTGAGACATGACATACTGCTATCCCCTGACAACCAAGGTGAGACACAGCTGACATACTACTATCCCCTGACATCCAAGGTGAGACATGACATACTGGTATCCCCTGACATCCAAGGTGAGACATGACATACTACTATCCCCTGACATCCAAGGTGAGACATGACATACTGCTATCCCCTGACATCCAAGGTGAGACATGACATACTACTATCCCCTGACATCCAAGGTGAGACATGACATACTGGTATCCCCTGACATCCAAGGTGAGACATGACATACTGGTATCCCCTGACATCCAAGGTGAGACATGACATACTGCTATCCCCTGACATCCAAGGTGAGACATGACATACTGCTATCCCCTGACATCCAAGGTGAGACATGACATACTGCTATTCCCTGACATCCAAGGTGAGACATGACATACTGGTATCCCCTGACATCCAAGGTGAGACATGACATACTGCTATCCCCTGACAACCAAGGTGAGACATGACATACTGCTATCCCCTGACATCCAAGGTGAGACATGACATACTACTATCCCCTGACATCCAAGGTGAGACATGACATACTGCTATCCCCTGACAACCAAGGTGAGACACAGCTGACATACTGGTATCCCCTGACAACCAAGGTGAGTCATGACATACTGGTATCCCCTGACAACCAAGGTGATACACAGCTGACATACTGCTATCCCCTGACAACCAATGTGAGACCTCATTACTTTCTCACATGCTCAAGTCGAGATTTATTTTTTGATGTTTAACTCAATCTTGGTTCTGACATAATTGCTTAGTAAGTTTAAGAAACAAATAGTGAAGCAATATTGCTTCCAAAGACAGTTGATATGCGATTGGTTGCAGAATGAGTTGCAATTAACAAAATACTCCGCTTTCTTTTCTTGCAGGATTTTCAAATACATACATTCGGTTTCAAGTTTTGCCCCAAAGATCAAAATAAACTGGTAAGAATGTGTCAATACTATATACAAGTTACAAAAGTGTTTTTGGGAGGATTTCAGATTGTATAAACGTGTTCATTGAAACCCTGTTTGTCCAATACCTTCAGTGGATATGTTGGGTGGATCACTTTAGTGGAGCCCTTTAGTGGAGCCCTTTAGTAGAGCCCTTTAGTGGAGCCCTGTAGTTGATACCTTTAGTGGAGCCCTGTAGTGGAGCCCTGTAGTTGATACCTTTAGTGGAGCCCTGTAGTGGAGCCCTGTAGTGGAGCCCTTTAGTGGAGCCCTGTAGTGGAGCCCTTTAGTGGAGCCCTGTAGTAGATCCCTTTAGTGGAGCCCTGTAGTAGATCCCTGTAGTGGATCCCTTTAGTGGAGCCCTTTTGTGGATCCCTGTAGTAGATCCCTGTAGTGGATCCCTTTAGTGGAGCCCTGTAGTGGAGCCCTGTAGTGGATCCCTGTAGTGGAGCCCTGTAGTGGAGCCCTGTAGTGGATCCCTTTAGTGGAGCCCTTTAGTGGAGCCCTGTAGTGGATCCCTTTAGTGGAGCCCTGTAGTGGATCTATTTAGAGGAGCCCTGTTGTGGATCCCTTTAGTGGAGCCCTGTAGTGGATCCCTTTACTGGAGCCCTGTAGTGGATCTATTTAGTGGAGCCCTGTAGTGGAGCCCTGTAGTTGATCCCTTTAGTGGATCCCTTTAGTGAAGCCCTGTAGTGGATCCCTTTACTGGAGCCCTGTAGTGGATCTATTTAGTGGAGCCTTTAGTGAAGCCCTGTAGTGGATCCCTTTACTGGAGCCCTGTAGTGGATCTATTTAGTGGAGCCCTGTAGTGGATCCCTGTAGTGGAGCCCTGTAGTGGATCCCTGTAGTGGAGCCCTGTAGTGGATCCCTTTAGTGGAGCCCTGTAGTGGATCTATTTAGAGGAGCCCTGTTGTGGATCCCTTTAGTGGAGCCCTGTAGTGGATCCCTTTAGTGGAGCCCTATAGTGGATACCTGTAGTGGAGCCCTGTAGTGGAGCCCTTTAGTGGAGCCCTGTAGTAGATCCCTATAGTGGATCTATTTAGTGGAGCCCTGTAGTGGATCTATTTAGTGGAGCCCTGTAGTGGAGCCCTGTAGTGGATCCCTTTAGTGGAGCCCTGTAGTGGAGCCCTGTAGTGGAGCCCTGTAGCGGATCCCTTTAGTGGAGCCCTATAGTGGATCCCTGTAGTGGAGCCCTTTAGTGGAGCCCTGTAGTAGATCCCTATAGTGGATCTATTTAGTGGAGCCCTGTAGTGGATCTATTTAGTGGAGCCCTGTAGTGGAGCCCTGTAGCGGATCCCTTTAGTGGAGCCCTATAGTGGATCCCTGTAGTGGAGCCCTTTAGTGGAGCCCTGTAGTAGATCCCTATAGTGGATCTATTTAGTGGAGCCCTATAGTGGATCTATTTAGTGGAGCCCTGTAGTGGATCTATTTAGTGGAGCCCTGTAGTGGAGCCCTGTAGTTGATCCCTTTAGTGGAGCCCTGTAGTAGATCCCTTTAGTGAAGCCCTGTAGTGGATCCCTTTACTGGAGCCCTGTAGTGGATCTATTTAGTGGATCCCTTTAGTGAAGCCCTGTAGTGGATCCCTTTACTGGAGACCTGTTGTGGATCCCTTTAGTGGAGCCTTTAGTGGAGCCCTGTAGTGGGTCTCTTTACTGATTTGTCTAGTCCAGACTCAGTTATTTACTGGCCGCTGTCATATAGATGGAATATGTAACTGAATGCAGTGCTAAACAATCAATGAGTGTCTGGATTAAGAGGCTCTCACTCTTAATAAGTAGTACCATAGCAGGTGAAATACCTGCATGCCTGACCGTCTGAAATTGTCCTGTTTTCATCTCAGTCAGTTGACATTTAGAGCATGCATGCCCAATGGTTGTGTCTGTGTTTTAACCATATATGTAAAATTTAAGAATAATCATTTGTTTAAACTCTGGACTGGAAATTTTCTAAATGGTGTCTGAACTTTTGTGAGTTGGCAGTCTGACTGTGTGACTAGATTTTGGGTGAATAATCAACACTGAGTACCCAGTGAAATGAAACAAAACACAAGACAATATTCAGTTTCTGGTGTTTGTGTTTGTAAATGGAGTAGTGCATACAGTTTTCTGAGAAGTTCTGGCTGCATATCCTGGGAACTAAGGTGAAGACCTTGATAAAACGTCTATATATCTGATTGCACTAGTAGTAAGAAGAAGCTGCTGTTTTGACCAGGTATTATTTTGATTAATACAGCTCCAGTTTTGTCTGTTTTAATTTTGATGATCTCCATTGTTGTGTTCCAGGCTATAAACGCCATCGTCCACCATTCCTACCCCACACGGTCAGACCTCCTGTTCGCATATGACTATGGCCACAGCGGCAAATTTGCAGGTAAGTCAAGATCAGCATATTCTTTTGTGCAAAAATATTTTTTCCATAAAGAGCTGCAAAATGGCTAATGTGGCATAAAGACATACTACTGACTGAAATGTCTTCTGATGCCCTTCTGTTGTTGAGTGTTTAGGGGGTACGGGTGGCCCAGTCGTCAAAGGTGTTACAGTTCCTGGTTAGAGTTGCATGATTGCATCCCTTAGATGTGGCAGGATCCTGTGATCATGGGTTTGAATCCCAACTTCACCATGATTATGATTCAAGGGCCTATCACCACCACTCCATGCTTGTCGGTTTCATCAAAGTGATTAATGTCAGGAACCTTCTCTACTTTAGGTTTTCCTCCCTCGAGTTTGCATGCAATAACTTAGCATTAGGGGATGGGAAACAGCATCTGCATGATAGACTCATCTTCCCGATTTCAATCTAACAATTATTGAAAAAGAATGCCAACATGTAAACAAGCTGATGAACTTGTGGTCAGCTGCAAATTGTGTTTGCAGAAATAGTTTCCCGCCATGAATGGAATTAACATCACTGATTGTTTACCTTGCAGAACAAAAACTGGAGACCCGATTGTTCTACAACAAGCAAGACTGGGAGCTTGAGATAAAACGACTCAATGCGGTGGCTCGCTGGAGAGTCGCTGACATGAACACAGAATACTGCAATGCCCCCAGGTCAGACTACACACGTGTTTGAATAGGTCCACAGCACCCCATTGCTGGGCACTGGCTAGTCAGGCTCTGTCCAATGTCCATTCGTCACCACTAGCCCCTTTCCGTAACCTGCAAGAAGACTCGTCCCCCCTATCGATGAATGTTATGTGCGAAAATAGGACAAACCAATCAGAATGCGCGTATGACTTCAAGTTCTTCGTCAAAGAATCCCTCAGAAATAATTTTTGATTTTTCATATGTCATGCATCTAAAAATATACCCAAGACACAGTTAAATGTGCTCAATCATACTGTATAATTCTGCATGTCCAGATGTGCTTTAAATTGTATCTGAAACATATATATTTAGGAGATAAACATACTGTGTTTTCAATGTAGAGCTAGGTTACCTGTAGATTTAACCCCACTAAATTGAATTTGGAACCGAACGCGCAGCATTAGGTTTCAAATATTAAATTTAGAGCGGTTAAATCTACAGGTAACCTAGCTCTACATTGAAAACACAGTATGTTTATCTCCATTCTACCATGACTAAATAAAAAGCGAACTCTTTGGTGTTGGCAAATATACTGAGTGAAGCGGCATGGGTTGAGTTCAGTGTTTTGAGTGGGTTATCGATCTGAATAAAGGAATCACCGAACAAAATATGGTCCTGTATATCAGGCATTGAAAGCATATAAGCACGGCAACTTGGTAAGCAAACATGAGGTGGGCATCCCTAAAGAAAACAAAGTAAGGTTTGCAAGGCTTTCGCTCTACATTGCACGTCACCATTATGACGTCATATTGCTCATTGTGACGCAAAAGATATGACGTCACAGTCGTATATAGAAAATATGCCAAGCTCTCTGTTGTCTCCAAAACTTAAATACATTCTCTTTGTTGATTTCTGTCGTGTTTTTCTGCACAAAATGTATTGCCACACATCTTTTGAATATTGTAGTAACCGCATCTGTGCATTTTGTAACCTGTAATTGTAGATATAATTATTTAAATATGCCTACCAACAATGACTGAAAATAGTACTATTCTATGAATATTAGTTTCCGCGGTGAAGCGGCCGTCAAACCAGCTGTTTCAATCAGAGGGGGTTTATTGTGATTTAATAGCCTCTGATTGACTAATCAGAATCGAGTAAATTCCAAATTCCTGGTAGAATATATAGGGAAATGTTTGTGAACCATTACGCAATGAGTTGACAATTGTTTTAGGTATGCCTGTTTGCGCTAAGACGGAACCCGGTGGCAAAAATGGCCATGAGAGGGTCACGAGTCGCTATTCGGCTTGTCCTGGAATAACATGAGTTGGTCACGAATGTTCAAAGTCATTAAATCAGATCTTAGTGCTTGTTTCCACTACCCAAAGATCTCAGGACATCCCATTACAGGTCATGTCAGAACAACCATTGAAATGACTGAGAGGAAGTTGACATGAGCCAATGCTTCTTCGGAATACCCTGTGTTAACTTTTCCGAGTTTGCATGTTTAGAAAATACATTTGAACTCTCACTTTCTTGATCTCAGAAGCGATGCTGTGATTGGTCAGATGAAAGGTTGTTTTGATTTGACCTGTGATTGGTTGTCCTCAGATCTTTGTGTAGTGGTAGCGAGCACTAAGATCTTGTTTTAATGAGACTTGGGGCGGCAACCTCCCTGATCGTGTTTAATTATTAACCCCTGTCGTGATATGCCGGGAATATTTCTCACTGCAGCACAAAAATGATTGTGTTAATTTGCATTTTATTGCATTAGGCACTTGGAATATATTTGCTGTGTCACTAAGTTACCTTTGAAAGTGTTATTCAACCTATCCCAGAGTACACCAAGGTTGTTGCTTATAATATGTATACCATATTCGACGTAATAAGCGCCCAGGGTGCTCTCAAAATTAGAAATAGGAGGGCTAATATTGTAATATTATTTTGGTGAAAGAAACCCAGAGTTGACAGATAAATTTTGTGGTTTATGCTGACAGCCTGAAATGTTTATGTACGACAGATGTATTTTTCCAGAATTTAATTGCCCATAATTAAGGGTGCATATAACGCACGAGTACGTATTATACACGAATAAATAAGTCTTGTGTACATTGATCAATCGGAAGGGGTGCTAATTGGGAATGTTCACCAGCCAATATTTTAGCAAATGTCGCTGTGGGCGCTTATTAGAGCAGGGTGCTTATTATGTCAAATACGGTATGTATTGAGTAGTATAGCTTCAGTACAGACTTTGACATGTGTGTTTCTGTTTCAGTATGCCTGAGTACTTTGTTGTGCCAGTTTATTTGTTGAACACAGACTTGGTGAAGTCAGCTGTAATCTACAACGATTATAGGCTACCGGTAAGGGATGGCATTTTGACTCTTTGTGTTTCCAAAACCCAGTGGATATCACTAATGAAATGTTACTTGACATTATATGGCTGAAAATGGGGATCTGTTGGCCCGAATAGTTGCTTAGGAAGACTTTATTCTTGTCATTTGATCACATTTGATTGTTCCCAAGTACTCCCGATAAAGAAATTCGCTATGTGTGAAAGGTCATGGGTGGCCCATCTGTCTAAGGAGTTGCAATTTGCTGTGCAGAGTTGCGTCCCTTGGACACGCCAGAAACCAATGTTTGTGGATTTGACTCATGGTTCGCCCTGATTATGTTTCTAGGTTTGTTAGTCTGGGGGTTCACCAAAATTAATACTTAGATTATTGTTGCCTAATTACCATACCTCAATTAATATTGTTTCATAAACTGCATTGTGTCATGGTTTTTTTTACCCCATTCTCTCTCTTGACTTTTGTAAAATTAAATAAATCTCATTAAAATTAGATCTGTTACTCTGACACAATAGGAGGTTCATCATGGGAACTAATCAGCTATTCAGATTCAAGCAATCCTTCAGGTTTAGCAGTCAAAGTTCACTTAGTGTTCACCTGACCTTCAGATATATCGGAGTAAAAGATCGGATTTTAATGACGTCAAAGTAATAAGACACAGGTGGCTTACCGATTCATGACTGTGAGTGGTTCCTGACAGTCTGTCTTTGGGTGTTTACTTTGATCAGGGTAATTAGGTGATGAAAATGTTTAAAAAATTGTAACCATGGTAATTCTTAACCATGTTTCCATGACAATCTTCTTTTATTCATGTGCCTTCAGTGAAACAAGTTCTCTTGAGTATTGGACATAGAGACCATAACAGATAGATGATCGTAATAATATAATGATGGATTTATTTTCAGACCTGGTGCTATACCCACAAGAATAGTAGCTGTCTAGTTCGAATGTCTCATGTGGCTCCCGAATCAATATCCAAAGAAGGCCATGAGAAGTGAGATTTTTACTGAATTTTAGTTCTGACTAACCTATTGGGTTTGGGGGCAGGTAGTTCATAGTACTTCATTCTTTTGTCCCATTGCTAATTCCTCAGAGAGGATACTTTATTCAAAGTAAGTGCCCTGCCCTGTTGAGCATCCCTAGGCCAACATCTGGACCAATCTGTAAGTAATCTAATTTAGTGTCTCCCGATCAATATTCTGTAACATGTAAAACCTAGGTAGTGTCTCCTGGTAAATATGTCAATTCAAATTTCCACAAAGGGATTTTTAGCTCCGGGGACTATTGTAAGTTAATGTTAATGTATGGAATTTAAGATGATTTTAGCACTGTTTGACTTTGGTGATTGTGTGTCCCCATGCTGTCAACCACTGTTCAATGTCATTAAAATCAGATATTAGTTTTCACTACTGCTAAACAAAGATCTGAAGACATCCGATTGAATGCGGGTCACGTCAGAACGACCTTTCGCAAACTTTGACCGATAAATGAAATGACTGACAAGAAATCGACATTAGCCAATCAGAAGGCAGCTTTCTTGAGCTTTATGACACTAGTTTCAAACTAGTTTCAATGAAGATTGCTTGTTACTAACCCTGATTGACAAGTATGCTTACAATACTTGATGAAGATTGCTTGTTACTAACCCTGATTGACAAGTATGCTTACAATACTTGATGAAGATTGCTTGTTACTAACCCTGATGGACAAGTATGCTTACAATACTTGATGAAGATTGCTTGTTACTAACCCTGATGGACAAGTATGCTTACAATACTTGATGAAGATTGCTTGTTACTATCCCTGATTGACAAGTATGCTTACAATACTTGATGAAGATTGCATGTTATTTTGTAAAAGAGGCAATTTCATAACAATTCAATCTGTTGTGTCTATTTCAGAATAATAAGTGCAATAAAACAGGCCTGTGATTTGACAGATGAACCCAAGAGAGTTGATTTGTCTAGACTGTGCCCTTCACTTCGAGACCTCCAGCTGAGCTATGAAAAGTTGAAAGAGTGCTGCATGACTGGTAACTAGGCCGTTAACATGTGCTATTGGTTAATTTCAAACATGGATTCTACTTGTAGATTTCATTGTTTTGTTTGTTTATTTGTTTGTTTATTTTGATAAATTACCCCAGAGCAAGTATTGATACAGTGATCCCTCGCTACAACGCTTCCCTCGGGGTCCAAATAATTTTATGAGCGTTATAGATGATCAGCGGTTTAACGAAGGTCGAGTTTATGTTAATAAATTTTGGGAGCCATGCTTTACCGCGCGCTATAACCGAGTATTGAAGAGCCTATATTGAAGAGCGCAATAGCGAGGGAACACTGTATTAAGAAATCAAACTTGTTTGGGCACAAACAACCGTAATTACACACATAACAAAGCCATAATTCAGGTTATTATAATTATGAAGTAGGTAAAACCTTCTGAGTTTAGGGAAATAAGAACTTATGAGTCTCTTAAATATCACAATATGATTAATAGACAGATATGCACAGTTTGTTTTCTTCCGCTAGTATATATACATGTCATATCCTATGTTAGTGGTACTAGTGATGGTGTATACGTGACATGTCCTATGTGAGTGGTACCAGTGATGGTGTATACATGACATATCCTATGTGAGTGGTACCAGTGATGGTGTATACATGACATATCCTTTGTTAGTGGTACCAGTGATGGTGTTAGTGACATATCCTTTGTGAGTGGTACCAGTGATGGTGTTAGTGACATATCCTTTGTGAGTGGTACCAGTGATGGTGTTTACTTGACATATCCTTTGTTAGTGGTACCAGTGATGGTGTATATGTGACATATCCTATGTTGGTGGTACCAGTGATGGTGTATACATGACATATCCTTTGTGAGTGGTACCAGTGATGGTGTATACATGACATAGCCTTTGTGAGTGGTACCAGTGATGGTGTATACGTGACATGTCCTTTGTGAGTGGTATCAGTGATGGTGTATACATGACGTGTCCTTTGTGAGTGGTACCAGTGATGGTGTATACGTGACATGTCCTTTGTTAGTGGTACCAGTGATGGTGTATACGTGACATGTCCTTTGTGAGTGGTACCAGTGATGGTGTATACATGACATATTTTTTGTGAGTGGTACCAGTGATGGTGTATACATGACATATTTTTTGTGAGTGGTACCAGTGATGGTGTATACGTGTCCTATGTGAGTGGTACCAGTGATGGTGTATGCGTGTCCTATGTGAGTGGTACCAGTGATGGTGTATACGTGACATATCCTATGTGAGTGGTACCAGTGATGGTGTATACGTGACATTTCCTATGTGAGTGGTAACAGTGATGGTGTATACATGACATATCCTATGTGAGTGGTACCAGTGATGGTGTATACATGACATATCCTATGTGAGTGGTAACAGTGATGGTGTTAACGTGACATATCCTATGTGAGTGGTACCAGTGATGGTGTATACGTGACATTTCCTATGTGAGTGGTACCAGTGATGGTGTAAACGTGACATATCCTATGTGAGTGGTACCAGTGATGGTGTATATGTGACATTTCCTATGTGAGTGGTACCAGTGATGGTGTATACGTGACATATCCTATGTGAGTGGTACCAGTGATGGTGTATACGTGACATATCCTATGTGAGTGGTACCAGTGATGGTGTATACGTGACATATCCTATGTGAGTGGTACCAGTGATGGTGTATATGTGACATATCCTATGTGAATGGTACCAGTGATGGTGTATACGTGACATATCCTATGTGAGTGGTACCAGTGATGGTGTATATGTGACATTTCCTATGTGAGTGGTACCAGTGATGGTGTATATGTGACATATCCTATGTGAGTGGTAACAGTGATGGTGTATACGTGACATATCCTATGTGGGTGGTAACATGGGCGGTGTGGTGTTGCAGATTCTGTGAAGGAGTTCCTCAGTACGGACCTGGCCTGGTACTCCAACCTGGACAACACGCAGTGGCTCCAGGCAGTCTGCAAGTGTCTACAGATCACCTTCAGCATTGTCGTCAGCATACACAAGGACCAGCAGACCATTATCATTGCAGGTACTCACCTCAAACTGGGAAGCCAGAGGCCCTGAAATTGATCTTGCAGAGTTACATCCCTTAGACATGCCAGGATCCACTTCTAGTTTCACAATGATTATGAGCCTTTGTTCATCAGCAACTGAAGTTGTACTGGAATCCTGAGTAGCCTAGATGTTTGAACTACATCCTTTTGCCATCCAATTTTGGCTCAGTACCCCATACTTGCAATGAGCCAGTCGAAAATGGGGAATGTGTGGCTAAAGTGTGTGAACAGGCTGATTGGATGTGATCATACCCTTATGATTTGTATCTTTATTCCATGCGTTCAACCTGTGATAGGTCTGGTCCAGACTGTCAGGGCGCCATGACTGTAATATTGATGACTGCAGTGTACACACACTCACTTGTTCTGCTGTGATCCGTTGGGGTTCCGGGTTAGATTTCACTGGATTATTTACAGGCTATTATCGTCATATATTGACAAATTGTTGTTTGATTTCAGAGGAGACAGGTTGTGACTTCTCCTGCATTGTGGCCTCTCTGGTCCAGATGTGCCTTGATCCCCACTGCCGGACGCAGGTTGGCTTCCAGTCGCTCATACAGAAGGAGTGGGTGGCAATGGGACACCCCTTCCAGAAAAGACATGGACTCACCCAGGAAAACGAAACTGAAAGGGTTGGTATTCATTGCCTTGTATAGGGGTTTAGGGATTTTTCTTGTCCCTTGACATAAAATATGTAAAACTTTCAGTGAGTATATCCTTTGTTGTTTAAAAAATTGTGTAATATCTTTTACATATATATGGATTATACCTTTTTTATTTTGTTTTTGGCTTGTAACGGCCCCATCGTCATTCTGTTCCTAGAAATTTAGTAATTTATCTAAGGTTCATTGTTTTGTTGTGTCCAAATGACTGTCACTTGTATTGCACCTTCTTGTTTACATTTTAGTTAGTAAATCTTTTATAAAATATTCAGGAACTGTTCAGATGTGCTACAGACAAGTTGCTCTTTTTTTATTTCACCCCAAAACCATACTTTCGGAACATTTTTTATTTATATTTTGAATACAATGTAGTTACCCTTTGGTTTCAATAAAAGTCCACGAACCAAGTACTGCAAACAGACCTTACACATAGATGCATTAATTGGCCATTGTTGCAGGCTCCCATCTTTCTGCTGTTCCTGGACTGTTGCTGGCAGCTGTTGCAGCAGTACCCATCCTCCTTCGCCTTCACGGAGACCTACCTGACCACCATCTGGGACTGCGTCCATCTGGGTCTGTGCGACACATTTCTCTTCAACAACTGTCACCAGCGCCGTAAGTTCATGATGGAAGGTCGTCGCATGGCTCACATCCATCTGCCCAGTGTTTGGGACTGGCAGTTCCAGCTCGGGGAAATTGATCTTACTCTCTTCAACAATCCACTGTATGTTATGAGAACCAAGTTGGATTTGAACGAAATAGTCTCCAGTGCGAAAAAGACTCTAACAGAAACTGGTGCGACACTTCGGGATGAGATGTACAAGATGAAGCTGACGGACTTGTATCTGGAGGAAGAAAGGTTCTTCCCCGATGTTAGTGGTGTCCTGTATCCACAGTTCACACCATTAGTTGTCAAACTTTGGAAACAGTGCTTCATTCGTTGGAATATCCCTGCACAGATTATCGGCGGCGGAAACCCTTCTCGGTACCTCCAACAGTGTGTGTTGGTGGAGGAGGTCATCTCGCTCCATCATCGGCTCAAGTTCCTTCAGCAGGATTCCCAGAGGTCGCAACGACCCAAGAGTGAACTTATCTTCGGTGTGGAGGAGAAGCAGAAGACGCCAGCACTCCTGAAATCCTGTGTTCTCACATCCTCCTTCCCATTCTCACATGGGCCGCCCAACAAGGCCTATAACACTCTTCTCTGGAACCCCATAGCAGACTACGTCCAGAACAGCACCATCGACTACGACTACACAAATGCTGATGATTGAGGCATAGCTAACAAGTATTAAACTGTAACGAGCAAAGTCACGTCTGAACAAGAATGGTATGCTCGTTGTACATGAAGAAAATTAAAAATGGATGTGATGAGCAAAGGCTGAAACCACTAGACTAACCCATCCATTGTGTATACTCTTCAAGAAACCACACTCTGTTGACCGGAGATGTGTCATAAAAGGCTAACCTGCACCACAGCCACCTGCAAGTGCCTCGGTCTTCGTAGATATAACCAAAACTTATGTCATTGCTTTACACTGTACATGCCTAGGGTGTAATAGGACAAGGCTGAAAACTGGATAGATTTTTTGTGTTTGTCAAAATTTAAAAGTTACTCATTTGAATTATTTCTGCCATTTATCAAGGATATGACATTCACTCTTTAGAAAGCATTTGAAAAGGACATCCAATTATTGGTGTAGTTTGTAAATGATTTATGTATAAATCTGGTAAAAGTTAAAATAGCATACCCTTAACAAGCATTTGAAAATGATTCCATTTGTTTGTGTATTTTGTGAATGAAAATTAAAATATAGAAAAACATCATTCAAGTACAGTTTAGGCTTGTAAATGTCTGAAAGTGTAGTTCAAGTTTAGATGTTTAATTCTAATGATTTATGAATCAGGTGTCTTTAAGATGTGCAGCTGTAACATTCGACAATCAAACAGAAACATGGCCTTGATTTTGTACGTTACTCATTAGGTGCCTTTGAGTAATTGTTGTTGTTCTACATGTCTGCTGAATCGATCGGATGTTTTGTCAGACAAATACCAATAAACCTTGCCAACACAATGTCTAAGGACCATCAAAAATATATAAAGACATGTTTACTTCAAGAAAAGCTTATTTTGTTTGATAACACTGGGTGTATCCATGACATGAAACTTGATATTTTCAGTGTTTATTTCAACAGAATACACCCTTAACATGCGTCCCAGCATGGCCTGGGATCTTTGCACTAAGATGATTGTAGCTCCCATACTAGTCTGTCATACAGACCCTGAAACAAGTATATCCAATACAGCCGATGCAAGTCTATAATATTTGGCAACTCTAGATTACTGCAGTATCTGAAAATGAAGAGAGTCTCTGGACTCCTTTTTATTTTATTTTACAACTATGATTTAATAACTGTATTTTTTTCTGTAAAATGTGTTCATTTCAGAGACTAGGTTTTAGTATACTCCCATACTTTAACATAGGCTTACAACAGTCTTTGTACTAAGAATGCTTTATGAAGCAGGACCCAGAGCAGTAAGGTTCAATGTTATTCTTGTAAATACTATGTGCAATCTTTGGTCCCAATTCCCCCATTTAAATAGCCCGAAGCCATCCTCGATTATGAAGTGTTTAATATTCACATGATATCTCCATTCTATTGTGACCATGGACCTTTTCACCACAAGACTTCATTTCAGAAGTGTCTCAATCTCATACCAAAAACCCAACTTCTCTTGCTCTGAACAGTAATTTGACTTTTACTGTAAGTCTTGAAATTAACGCGGGCGTGAATCAAATGTGAAAAATGCGAGTGATATCTGTTCGCATTAATGAAACTTCACATTTATGTCTCCAAAATGACTATCCAAAATGACAATAAGACGGTCTCACTGCACACTTTGGATAGCGGAAATACCAACTTGTATATAAACGCAAACATGGTTTATTGAGTAGCAGTTGTAACAAGTACATAACAATGTCATTCAAAGAATAGGAATTACACAATAGGCATCTGGCAAGTTATCACTGCTAGGGTCAAGAGTTCTACCCACTCGTGTCAAACTAGGCATCATAGACCACTCCAGCAGTCAAGACAGACGCCACCCACACAACACTTCGTCAAAGGCCGACACGACCCAATGCGCACTGACAGGCTAGGGGTAAGGTGATGTTGCATTGATATTGAGGTGCATTTTTGGCTAGGGGTCAGCAGTCATATTAATTTGGAGGCGCATTAATTTCAAGATTTACGGTATGTACTCTGTAATTCGATAGTAGCGGAGGGGCGTTCGGGTAGCCTAGTGGTTAAAGCGCTCACTTGTCATGCTGAAGACCCGGGTTCAATTCCTGGCATGGGTAAAATGTGTGAAGCCCATTTCTGGTGTCCCCTGCCGTGATATTGCTAGAATATTGCTAAAAGCGGTGTAAAACCACACTCACTCACTTGATGGTAGTGGATGGGCCAAGGGTAGTTATTATTATAGACTTGAGATATGATACAATGGATAATGAAGGATTTCAAAATCCATGGTAATACCTCTATTACCTTTTAAGGATTCAGAACTTTGCTTTGTGTGAGGGAAGCACATACCCTCACAACACATTATTTACATTCATTGTGATATCAGGCATTAGTTAAAAAATTAGCTTAGATTTGCACTGAATTTAAAGTAGATTTAACAGTACATTAGAACCAGTGTTCTGAATGAGAGATTTTCTCGTAGTAGCTGGCTAGTGATAGGGAACTATAGGCGATAACCTATCCATTTTCAAATTTGCAAGTGTTATTGAATGTTTGATACCCAGGACTTTGTTTTTAAACTCATTAGTCAGAGGTTTCAAATGATGAAACTACCACATGATGTTTATCAACTTGGTAATCACAATATACTTTGAGAGAGAGTGCTACCAAACACTCTCTGTGTATACTCTAAGAACAACGAAAAGACATCCCGTCCCTTGGAATCAAGGACACCTGAACCACCTAGAAGAGCAGAGCAGATTTTTAGTCAAATGATATTTGATGAATACAATATTCATGTTGATCTGTTGTCAAATACAATGTTTGTGACATATTGCCACAAAGAAAACAAATATCTATTTAGCAAGAGTATTTTAAATGATAATGATCATATGCCTTGATCAGTCGAGGTTTCTGGACTTCACAAAATTCCATTGTTTTTCAACCAATCAGATTGCAGCAGAGAGTCACATGTTTTACAGAACAGTGTATTCTTGTTCAAGAGACTTGAAGTCACCAGGTTCATGTAGAGAGATTTTTGCTAGCTTGCTATAGTTTGGTTGTTACCTGTACATTCCTGAATGAATACAGTATTATTTGACTGAAACGAACGACAAGAAATGTTACCAGTGGTGAAAGAATTATTCCAAATTAATTATTTTGAAAACAATTGACAGGGGTGGAATGTTAACTGTAGATATAAGCCGAGGACATTGTGGAAACTACTTATTGCTGCTGCAGTACTTTTTCTGCTTAGCTCGGCTTACATATTCTACAATACATGCAGATGTATGTATGTACTTTTGTGCTGTGTTAAAACTGTTGGCAGTATATGCTGCAAACAATAATTGCATTCAAATTGTGTCCGAAATACCGTATTCAACGTAATAAGCGCCCCGCTCTAATAAGTGCCCACAGCGATATTTGCTAATATATTGACTAGTGAACAATCCCAATTAGCACCCCTTCTGATTGATCAATGTACACAAGACTTATTTATTCGTGTATAATACGCACTCGTGTGTTATATGCACCCTTAATTATAGGCAATTAAATTCAAGAAACATATATCTGTCGTATATAAACAGTCAGGCCGTCAGCATAAACCACGAAATTTAACTTCTACCAAATAATATTCTTATAAGAGCCCCCTATTTCTAATTTTGAGAAAGCCCTGGGCGCTTATTACGTCGAATATGGTAATGAAAGTCAAAAAGATTAAGTGCAATATACTTATATGTCATCATGTGTCTGTTTCAGATGTAAAGATTAATACTGATTTGATGTCATCAAGAGAGCTACAATCTAACATGCAGATTGATGGTAGTGGAATTCCCATTAGGCCACAATACATTAATTGTCCTCCAGATATAAATATAATAAATATTTTAGTAAAGAGAATTGTCCCCATAAACATAAGACCAGAATTAATTATATTTTCAACCATTTCAAAAAGAAACAGGAAGCCACTTTCCTCTTTTGATTATCCACACAAGCTGTTCATTAACTGTTGACAGAAGCCCAATAGCATGAATGTTTGGGTGGTCTATCATGTATATGGTGTATTTCAAGAAATGAGGGCACGAGTGCCCAGTCATCCGAGACATCAGGTGTGCTTTGCAAAGCTGCATTCGGTCAACATGCCAGAAATCTGAAATTAAGAGTTTGAATCACGGTTAAACCTGAATGTTTCTGGGTTTCATTGTCAGCACCATATACATATATGGGTTTCACCAAAGTGGGGAACATACAAGGACTGCATCACTTTTGGCTTTCCTCAACCATGCACTGAAACACTGTTCAGAGCGGCATTAAACCCATCAGTAGAACGAGAAATGAGGCAACACAGGTTGTGCTTTGCTCTTTTGTCTGTAGGTACTTGTGGATATTGTATATTCAGAAGTGTATTCCACATATTTGTAGTAGCTACTGTTGGTATGTTATTGGTATTATAGGTTGATGATTTTGTTACTATTGGTAGAGTAACACGTTTTCTGTTGGTAAGAAAATCAGTAACAGCAGCGTTTTGTTTGTTTGTTGTTTAATGCTGCCCTCAATCCTGAAGATTTCATTTGGAATTATACCATCTGGAATAACGAGATTTTACTATGTTCCCCAGTATGTGTTGTAGCCTTTTCAAGCATGGATGCTGGTATATATTGACGGTTACCATGGTAGTAATAATTACATTTTTCATATTCCCCATCCAGCTTGTAGCAGCAAATATATGTAGACATTCCAGGGTTCATTGAAACCGGGGGGCGCGGGTGGCCCAGTCGTCTAAGGCACCGCAATTCGCTGTGCAGAGTTGCGTCCCTTGGCACGCAAGAAACCTATGATTGTGGGTTCGAATCCCGGTTCGCCCTGATTTTGTTTCTAGGTTTGTCAGTACCATACCCGTGCTCGTGGGTTTCACCGAAGTGGTAAACGTCTAAGACCTGCATCACTTCGGGCTTTCCTCCCACATTAAGCTGACACGCCGTGATATAACTCGAATACTATTAAAAGTGGCGTTAAACCCAACTCACTCACTCACTCACTCACTCACTCATTGAAACCCAGTGTCTTGTGCGTCATCTTCAAATGACACAGAACAGATCTTGTAAGCAGATGGATGAAGCTGAACGTTTGAGTATAACGTGATCATTCTGTCAGGGCAGGGTGATTGTCATGCATGGGGTGCTGGTGATGCGGGACGGGACGGGGCGGGGCGGGGTCCCCTTTTGAAAACCAAATGTATAATTGACATAAGATTTTGATATTTTGGACCCCTCCCTTACAAAAATGCTGGATCCGCCCTTGGGATGTATTCTGCCCCTGGTTTCAGTTCACAGATGTGCTTTAGCAGTACCTCCAGCATGATTGTCCTTGGCCCTGTTCCACGAAGTGGTCTTAGTACTAAGATGGTCGTTATTCCCAAACTTTAGAGCCAAGTTTGTGATTTGATATGTAGTGTAGGGTTTTCAAGGTTTCTGAAATGTGATGCACTACTCAAAAGAAGTTAAGAAACACCTGATTTTTCATATGACTTGTTTATCTGTCATGGCTGGTGAGTATTGCAACACACAGCCTTCCAATTGTGGGTGTTCTGTAATTGTTTTGAGTAGTATATTTAAGAGACCCTGAACTAAGGGAATCAATCGTTTGTTCCTCCTTCATTGAATAAGTGGAAGATTACTATTAAATCAACTTTCACTTACTTACTGCTTCTGTCCCCAACCAACTGTAATGAATCTTGGGATAAATGTGGTGTGTATGTTCTAAACTGTTGGTTGTGAGTGCCATGCAGACAAAACATTCATAAGTTCTCTTTTATAAAAACCTTACTGTACAGATGTTAGATGGCAAAGGTGACCGAAACATGCCCCTGTCTGATGAATGTTACCTTACAGCTACAGCTACGTTATAGATAGGAGTGACAGGAAAACATTCCTGTCATGTGCATTAAAGTGTACCATTTCCGAAAACCTTCTATACATTGAAACCTTGGTTGTCTGGACCCTGTTAATCTGGACAAGTACCGCTGGGTTCTCCGACCTGTATAAGTGACAATAATCTGGATGGTTTCCGGATGGTTTCCTGGGAATGTTGCCATACAGATTAAC